GAAACATTTGGAAAACAGGAGCTTTCCCCCAAAGAGCTATCATTCTGTTCTCTAAGAGGAGAGCATTCAGAGGAACGACAATGAAAGCATTACCATGATGGATGATATTTATATTTTAGACACCCAGAACCACCGTTGAGCTGTTTGTTCATGGGAGGTTTCATTTCCATTATAAAAGTGCCTGGAAAAGTTGGCAAGGAAACCAAAAAGCTACTTCACCAGCTTCAGAGATGCTGAAGAGAAAGCGTAGCTACTTTTAGGATTAGAAGCTTAAAATTATGAATTCATTGTCTAGTAATTTTACAGTAATTAAAGTAATTAACTTAATGTATGCGGCTATTTCAGCTTTTTTTTTGGTTTTGTTTATTTTTTAAAGGAGCTGTTCCATTAAAGAGCTTAGGCTGGGGAATTAGCTGATGAAAGGCATCCATTCTGGCCTGATCCATAGCCCCCAACTTTTAAGGACTTCAGAGATGAAAGCCATTTGGAAACTCCACGTGTGATTTATATACAAGTGATTGACATCCTCATCTTCATGCTATGAGATTTATTTCATCCCTAATGAGGTGAAGGTCAAATATGCTGCTCTCATTCTGGAAACAGGGAGGGCACAGGCATGTGCCCACTGCCATTCTTGAGGTGTGAATAGAGGAATTTGATTAGTTCCAGTGCTTCTATTAAACCTCCTTGGACGGAGGGATAAGGGGAGAGGTGTAATCAAGAGGGCATGCGATTTGCATGTTAAAGGAAAGCATGGGATCTTTTCCTTTAAACAAGCCCAGACTTGATCCTGATTTTCAAAACAGTAGAAAAAACCATTTTGTTGCTGTGTGTGGCCGGTTTATTTTGGAACAAGAGTTTTCCGTGGCTTTGAAAGCTGTTTTGGTGTTGGCGTTTAATACGTCACACTGGGCATTCTCGCTCTTGCAGCGAGTTGAAAAACAGATCAGGTGCTTCAGGGCGCTTACCGGGGCCTCATTCCTACGTCCCCTCGATCAGTTTGTAAGGCAAAACATACAGTCTCTGCTTTCTCCTTGTTGAGCGTGCTCAGCATGGTACAGGAACGGAGAAGACATGCTCCCTGCCCCAAGGGGATGACTAAAAGGATGAGCAGCAACAGAATTTGGCACTTCCACAGTACTTTTCATCCAAGGATCTTGGAGCACTTTGCAGAAGTAGGCATTACTCATTGTACGGATAGGGACTCCAGTCCTTGTTTCTCATCTGACAGCCCTTTATCCATCATCAGGCACAAAGCCCTGTGAGACCAGGGGGTCTAGTAATATAAAGGGTAGTAGCACAGCTGGTTTGTTAATTAGTACTAACAGAGGTAGGCCTCAGAAGCTCTTTGAAAGGGAAGAGGGTTGGATTTGCTGCCCTAGGCTAGAAAGGCCATTCTTAGCCAAAGAGCAGTGCTGAAGGGGACTGCCTGCCTAGAAAGGCTCAGCGCTCCCTCCCATCTCCCACAGCACCAGCTGTTTCAGAGGAACAGTAAAGCACTTGTGTGGGGGGTGGTATGTGCAACCAAAGCGGGTTTTGCCGGCCGGTCTGTGTACCGTCACCCCTTCCTGGAGGGGAGAGCAGTCACAGGACTGCCTCACTCTTACCGTTTTCTCCAAACGAGGCTAATCCTGAACATCCTGCAGAAGTGAGTCTCCGATCTAGTTCAGTGTCAACCAGCTGGCGGGTGCAGCTGTGGGAAAATGGGACCTGTGGAGTCAGGTGGGAACACGAAAGGAGGGACAAGCAATGGGTAGACGGCTAACCTGTGACCTGGGCCCAAGTCCCTGCTCTGTCAGTGGGCTCCTGAGCAAGTTGCTTGGGGTCAGATCCAAACAGGAATTTAGGAAGCCCAACCAGTGGGTGCACAGGCACCTCGCTAGGCATCACATACCCAAGTACCTTTCTGGATCTGGGTGTTACTCTTTCTGCCCTCAAGTTTCCTATCTGTGAAATGGGAACAGCCACTCTGCCCGACTTCACAGCAGCATTGTGAGGATATGTCTATTCATGATGCTGCTACAGGGTGGTAAAACAGCCGCTGCATAGATGGATAGAGAAGAGAAACAAGCATTTGGGGAACCACCACAGGAATCCACAACACACAGTTAAGCCTCTTCCTTTGCATTGCTGGAGCGCAGGTGGCATATTGTGAAGGCCCAGTGGCACAGTCCAAAGGTGCCGACTGAAAGGTATCAGGGTGAGAAACACAGCATGGCCAGAGGGAAAGAATTCAGAAAGAACAGATCTGCAAACAGTGCCCCTGCAGCGAATGCCCCCCTGCAAGTGGGGGCCTGCACCTTCGTACCACAGGCAGGCTCCTTCAGAAGGGCAGCTGTTTTCCAGATTGCTCTGCAAGTCCCAGGACTCTCCCTGTCATGGATACAGACATTAATGGGATTGCTGAGATAGGAAACTCCGCAGCAACGAAGCACTGCAAGCACCTTCCTGCAAAATGAGGCTCCACCTTACCCTTTCAGCTGGTTGCTCAATCTGCTGGGGCTGTTCTGAGACTCTTACAAGGGATGACGGAAAAAAACCTGAGCACCTGGGGATTTCTGGACAGGAAAAGAAAATGGAGGTTTTCCCTCACAAAAAGGCCTCCGACTCCAGAACAGCAGCTAACTAACCCCACTTCAAGGAAATGGGCTTCATTCAAACCAGCTTAACAACAGCAGTGGTAAAACTATAACATCCAGCTGCACTACCTCATGCTGATCAGACCTTGGTTTGGATGTCAAGGCAAGAAAACTAAGGTGCTCAACAGGAGGCCAAGAACTTATACTGTGATGTGCCAAGCCCTGCCCTGGCTTCAGTGGTCATTCATCTGTGCAGCATTTGAACCACTGCTTTGCAAGCGATCCAAAGCATATGGGTGTTTCCAAGATGAACTCCTGGCTTATCTGTTCTTCCTAGGCAGGAAATGAACATTATCAATACATAAACAATATTTCAATAAAACAGCCTCTGTAAAGCTTTCTGTCCTCTGTTCCTGGGGACCAGAAGATCAGAGCCTTTACATCTCTACTTGGGTAGGGGAAACCAGGACCTAGGCTCAGGGGGTGAGCCAGGAAAGAGTTTAGTTCTCCCTCTTTGCCACCTGCTGTTGATTAGCTATGAACCCACTAATCAGCCAATCCAAATGGGTTTGAAATGCAAGGCTCTGCAGGTCTAGGGCCCAAATCCCATAGGCTTGGACATCACTCCTCCTTCCCATCCTCAGATTACACAATTGGTGTCAAAGCAACTTGTATCAAATCACATTTTTCATATACATTATGGCCCAGATGGTCAAGAGGCCACAGTTTTCACCACTGGCCTCAGATTGGCAAAAGCATTCAGTTCCTTTGCAGACCTAACCTGGAGCCTTTCATCCCAGAGCACTTAATAGCTTGCATAGAAAGCCCAGGTTTTTCAGAAGGGTTTAGTGATTTATAGATGCCCACTCTTGGACACCTGAAAGACACCTAATTCTCTAAACCTGCTAAGCATGCACCCTTTGGAAAGCAGGCCCCTTTAAAGGTATGTCAAGCCGGGCACCCAACTCACTGACTGCTGTTGAAAATCCTAGCCTGTGTGCTCCAAATGAGATCGAACGGATGAGACCTGTAAAGGAGCAGAATGCACGTGTATTGCAAGCATTTTCCAAACCATCAGTTAAAGCCTCAAGACCCCCTGATAGGCAGGCAAGTGTCCCTGCCCCACTTTACAAGGAGGGAAACTGAGGCAAGGGGCAGTGGTGTCACTGACACAGGGTTGCACTGTGTTGGCGTCTGTGCCAGACTTTGCAAAAATAATAAAAAGAAAAGGAATTTGCAGTCCTCAGCAAACATCTCTGCTGTCTCCAGCATCAGGCAGGAAAGGAGAAAGAAGATGAACTGTGTCATAGTGCGAGCCCTGCTGTACAAATAGGATCTCTCCGTGTTCTTCAGGAATGCAGAAAATCCTTACAATTCTGACCAATATTTTTTCCACTCCCCTTGGTGCTTACTAATCTTTATGGAGTTTACATTCCCTGGATCATATTTATACCCGGAGATCAGGAGGGGATTAGCTGGGGTCTGTGAGCTATTCACACAAGGACTCTGCTTATCTGAGCTAACAGAGCAGCTTCCCCATGTTAACCACATAACTGCCTTATCACTGGCAACAGCACTACCATTTAGCAGGCTGGCTGGAAATCAATTCGTGGCCCTGCATTCAGGTGGTATCCTTCATATCTCAAGGAGCCCCTCAAAAAAACACACCACTGAAATGACCGCTAACCAACAACAGTCATAGCAGCAAGTGCTTTTCTATTAATTCACTCTTCCACTCCTTTCACTTTCCCCTGATATTTGGTGTCATTATTTGCATCAGTGGCTCTATTGTCACCACCTGTATGGTCTACAACCTGAGAACTGTCCCCCGTGACATCTGAAAGGCTGGAGCTTAGAGAAGTCATGTGAATGATCTACCTTACACCAAAGATCAAACTATTCCCCAAGAGCTCATGGCAGCAAAACTGAGCCACAATATCTCTTCTATCACCTGTGTAGTCCAATCATTACAATTAATGGTAAAGTCCAGCTCAAGTGATTGAATGTGGCTTACATAAATCTGGCACGCAGGTTCCACTATATGCAATATTTGTCTTCTAAAGGTGCCCATATTTCAGTGGTGATGAATCAACCAGACTGAAATATCCATTGGGGTCTTCCAGAATCAGAGAGACCCTTTGCCCTGAAAATGTTGCAGCTTCTATTTAAAAGGAGAAACAGCACGTTCTGCCTCCCACTTTCCTCCTTACCATTTCTAACAACAGTATTTAAAAACCGTGGTAGGAAATACCAAGAACAACATCTCACAGGAGGCAAATTAACTAACTTTGGAGTCTATAGTAGAAAAGATAACACAGCTACAGAGTAAGAAGTGCAGCGCATCCTTGACAGCACTGAAAAGCCGGGAAGACAAAGTAAATGACTGCAGTCTTTCGCTGAAGATCAGAAAGGACAGGCTGCCTCTAGACGGCCTAGAGAGGGCTGTAAATATATTTAGCAGGAACAAAGCCATTGATGTGAAGAATGGGAAGACATTCAGGAGACTTTCTGGGGCAGGAGGGGATTCAGGCATATGGTGAAAAAGCAGGAAGCTGGATTTAAGATTAACTGGTTTATATTGTAAACTTTCAAGGACAGTGGATCCTGTTCTGCTGTTTGTTTGGAAAGGAGCAGGACCTGTGGGCTGTCTGGCCTTGTCTTGCCTCCAAGTGGTTTATGTCAGGCCTTTCCCCTGATTTAAAGGCAACTCCCTCAATAAAGTTACCTCTCGCATGACTTCAAAGGACTTCTGGCTTCCTACCCTCTCCCTGGAGGATGCTGCGCAACATCACATGCCTCTGTGTCTGCCATGTCTTGTGCTGACTTATCCCAGCTTGTGTCTTCTGGAACAGAGACAGTGAACACTCATGCAGCACGGTGGATGTGTGTGGTCCCGTATAACAATCCTTTCACAAGCCTGGAGGAGGATTGAGGTACAGTGTTCTGGGTGGGAAGCCGGTGTCTTCACTAGTAACATTGCTTCAAAACGTCACTTGAAGTCATAGCTGGACAAGGCTACTGGGCAGACTGCTGCTCCTACCACGCCACTTCTTCTCTCCATCTAATGGACCACCTGGGAGTGGAACAACAGGAAACATGGATGCAACGAATACCTTGCTTTGCTGTCAGTACAAGCAGCGGCAGGGGGTGGTTCCCCATTGAGATGAAGAGGGGCTGCAAGGGAGTAGATCAGCGTTACTAGTTGCCAGGTGCAAATGCCTAAAGCAAGGGATGGGGGTCAAAAAGACCTACCATGAGTTCAGCTCTACCACAGTCGGGCACCCAGCATAGACTGCCTTGCTCTGCAGCCTATTCATCAAGGCCACACGCTTGGACATCAGATACAGCATAAGAGAAGAGAGAACCTGACACTTCCCCGCATGCTTTCTTTCTAAAACTGAAGCTAAAGCCCCAAAGCTGCCCCTTCCTCAAAGCCAACTGTTTCATTCCTAAGAGAAAAGCCGTGGAGATAGCTGCATGCAATTCTCTGGCGTAAAAGGTTACAGGTGTGTCCCAACAGGCTCCCTGCATTGCTGCCTCTCCCAGGCGGAGAGCTGATGTCAAGAGAAAAAAAGGCCTCCGGGCACCCAGGTGACAAGCTGATGAATGACTTGCCACATCAGGACTGGCAGATTCATCGCCCGGGAGGCAGCAGGGAGGTTTGCATGCATTTTTCTGCTCTGAAATCACATGCCCAGCCTGGCTGCCATGTATATCCCTGTAGGTTATGTTTCCCTAATAGAACAGATTTTAAAGATAGAGGCATCAGTAGAGGATGCCTCTCCTCAGCCAGCTAGCACATTTTAAAAAATCATATCTTTTCATCCTAGTCTCAATGAGGCTTACCATGGGTCAAGAACTGGCCTCCAGCCTGTTGTGTGAGTGACATTTGTTTTTTCTTGTGACCAGGATAAATTAATCCTAAAAAGCAGAAAAGGACCAACGCTTGGCACAGGCTGTTCAAAGCCTGCGTGGAAAGGGAAGTGGAGAGGGAGAAAGAAGACAGGGATGCAACTGGACCCGGAGACAGCAAGAAGGACAGCAGTGGGATCAGCAGCAGCGGAAGTGACAGCGACAGGGACTGTGAATGAACTGAGAATGTAAACCCCAAATTGGGGCCTGGACTAAGGGACTGTGTTTGGGTTAGGGAAGGGAGGAGGGTGGAAGTGCAGGGGAAAGGGTGCATTTATTGTAAAGGGTGCATGGGTTTCTTAACTGAGGGAAAGCCTATAGATATAGATATCTCTATCTCTAGATAGCTATATCTCTGGATAGCTATATTTATATCTCTAGATAGCTATATCTATAGCTATATCTATAGCTATATCTCTGGATAGCTAGATCTATATCTCTAGATAGCTATATCTATATATAGAGATATAGAGAGCTATATCTAGATATAGAGATATAGATCAAGCTATCCAGACATATAGCTATCTAGAGATATAGAGATATAGATATATTTTAATAATAAAAAGGACCGCTAGATTCTTCTACGACATTGGAAATCAGAGGCAAAAAACTCATCAAGAACTGATCACATCTCCACCTTCTTGGGACAGGGCTATGGTTAGTGCAGGAGGCAGTAGCAGAATCAGGTGTCTGGGAATTATGCTGCCAGTTTTCAGTGAACACCCAGGATAAAAAAAAGTAATCTTTCTGTTGTAAAAAGTTTAAAGAGGCAGCTATAATCACAGAGTTCATTTTCAAGTTATGGAACAGAAGAGTCTTTAACTATGTCTGAGAGTGGAGAGATCCCTCTTCGATTTCCTAACCAGCTGCCAAAGCCCTTTTTAAGAGAGGTTTCCACAGAATACAGCTTTCCTTGCATTCAGGTAACATCTGGCACCAGGAGAAAAGCCTGGTACAGAACCAATTCCCTGGAACTACTGCATCCTTGTGATGGTGCTGAGCAACCAGAGACAAATGAAACATGAGAAGGGAAGCAGAGATCCTAAACCACCTGGCCATCAAAGGGAGCAGAGCTAAATAAACCTACTCAGAGGCCAGGGATGTGTATGGGTTCACTTGTAGCAGATCAAACTGCCCTAATTTAGCTGTGACCACGCGACACAATCCCCGAAAGCAGCAGCAAATTTACCCCTGGCTGAATTGGGGGCAGTCCTCTCACTCTCAAATGCCTCATCTCAGTGCTCAGCCTGCTGGATCTTCACGTGTTCACATGCATTTACAAGCAGCGGTCACAGCAAGATTCGCTTCAGGTTTATGCCTTGAGCTTTGCAGCTCTGTTCTTGTGTCCAGAACTTAAGCCAACATCTGGAGGACACTGTGCACATAGCACGATATCACCGCTCAGCCTGCTACCACAGCCCCAGCTGTCCTGTCACAGGCATGTGACACAGAGGTGAGAATTAAGCAGGGATGAGCCATGCAAAGCTCTATCAGCCTCTGAGAAAACGCAGCATTCACTTAATGAGTCCCTGGAGGGAAAGCACACAATTGGGGGCGGCTGTAGCGGGTACATGGACTGAGGCATTTGCTGTCTTGCTATGAGCTCACTGGCCTAAAATTGCATTAAAAAAGGACCAATTTGGGTTTTGCCTGACACGTACAAACTTTGCAGTCTTGGTGTTCTGAAAGTTGAAGAGGGGGACAGGTGCTTATATAGCTGCAGTCAAAACCAGCTGAACCTCGGCCAGTTTTCATCAGCTGAGGATCCAGGCCTCTGGTTTTGATTTGAGTTTTCCCCAATCCAGGCATTAAAACCTTGTGTTTGGGTATGAGAACCAGAGCTCTAAATCGGACTCATCCGAGGTGACTGAACAAACAAAAACACTGGGATAAACAGCAAAACGGAAAGATCTAAATGCTTAATATCCCTTTTTTAATACTCCCGATGCGATAGCAACAGCAAAGGAATTTGGGAGGGGGACATGACGCTGCAATTAACTTAATTTTATGCCTTTTATGCAGATATACCACACAGGGAACCATTCCCGTCATCCAAATGACCCTTAATTTAAGGAACAGAGATCATATAATGACAGCCCAGGCACAGGGAACAAAGCCAGCTTGCCTCATAAAGGACTGAACATGTGAAATTGGACTGCAGTTACGGCTCTGTACTCACAAAGCATCTCGTTGCTCAAGCAGGGGCCGCAGGGTCATCCTCTCTAAAGAGTAGCTACTTAAGTGAAGTAGAAAAAATGCTTCTGAGTCTTAGAAAGACTCTAGTTTTCTTTTTCCAGTGGTCTTTTTTCTAAGTATATCACTGCAGTAATAAGAAACAAGAACCTCATAGTTATTTGTTATTACAAACACACACAGCAGGGACTGAGACCCAAAAGAACAAAAGTACCCTGCGGTAGCACATCAAGGCTGCCCTCAACTTTGGAAGAGCTTCTAGCCTAAGGTGTAAAAATGAGACGTTTCTATCCCCCCCACAGGAGACTAGTTTAATCTTTTTAACAATGAAACTGCCTGGGCTGGCAGCAGTGGCCAGGATTAGGTATTATGATGCATTTTTATGAATGGACATGATTAGTCAGGCAGCTGTCAGAGGGACTTTAGTTGGGATTATCAAGGCAACATCTAGAAGTGGAGGGACACAGGAAAAACCAGATGCCACAGCCAGCAAGGCATTATACGAAGCCAAACCATCAGGAAGCAAACACACGCCCACCATGAATGTGCAAAAACCCGACTGTCCCAATGATGCTTTAATAAAACTTTGACGAAAAAGTGGGCCTGATTTTCTTCTCAGTTCCACTGGTTTCCTGTCACTATAACTCCACACTATTCCCACAGAGTCACTCCAGCAGAAGCAAGAAGTGTCAGGCCTAATGAGAGTAATGAATGTCACTGCTGTCCATTTACCATACTCAGAAAAGAGTCAGCTATTCCTAGACTCAGGTGCATTGTACTCAGGCAGCAAGCCGTGGAAGAATTGTACTGCATACAGGCATTGCTGATAAGTAACCATAAATGGGAGGAAGTGTAAGGTGGGAAATGGTTCAAAACCCCCTGGTCTCCAGTGCTTGAAAGTAGTGTTTCTCAGCTCATTCCCTGAACTGGACACGAATCCCTGGGGACACTGCCCTTCCCGTCTAGCTCAGTGATATAAACTTGGGCTCATGCAGAAAGCCCAGCATTATTTCCCACAACGCCCACCTGAAACAGTCACAGATGTTGCAAACAGGATGTTCCCAGTTGCCCCAGTGCTGTGCATATATCACAGACAGACAGAGGGACCAGGCTGGGAATAATGTGGGTGTACTCCAGCAGTGTCTATCTGTCATCACCAGCAGAACAAGTGGCCCCTACAATTACGAGCGCAGGCTCAGTCTAGTTCTGGCACTCAGTGGCGGCTGCCGTGCTGAGACCACCAATACTGGAGGTGAAACAATGCCTGCGCACGGTGCGGTACCTCATTTTCATCCACGTTGTAGAGCCGAGGGGCAGCTGCACTGGAATGCGACAGTTTAAGTACTGCCTCTGTAAATCTTAGCCAGCTCTTGCCACTGTGCCCATCACTTTGCAGGGAGCTTAAAAGGAAGGAAAAAAAAGTCATAAAAGTTGCTTTAGAGGGGAGCAGCAGTGATCAACAGAGCTCAGACACTGAGCTGAGGGCTGCTTAGCTTATGGCTAAGCAGCCAGGCACTCGTTAGGACCCCTGAAGCTTGCAAAACAGGGCTGGGAATCTAGCAAGACCCAGTTGCTTGGCACATTTTGGTACATCTGGCCCCGGTTGCAGGAGACTGTGGACAGGTGAAACCAGAGGCTGCAGCAGTAACGCAAGGGAACCAGGCCGGGGCTGGAGAGTGGGCACAGGTGTTTTGCTTAGTCGTAAATTGAGGAAAGGGAACTCATGGGCTATGCAATGAGTTGGCCCCTCCAGCGCTCTCTCCATGCAGCCTTTGCTCTTGCTGTACCCAAGCACCTTTACTTACACACAGCAATCATCCCTTCCATACCACCAGCTCCAGGGGACATGGGACTTGCAGACAGCACGAGGAGGGACCTCTCTCAGTGACAGCCCACGCCTCCCCTCTCCGCAGCCCAGACAATCCTTCTGACGCAGAAGGGCTGGAGGAGCCTGAACCGAACACTGGGTCCAGAAGTCCCACTTCCCAGGATGGGATGAAAAAGTGACCGTAAAACAAGCAGGCAAAGGAAACCAACTGCACCGCTCTGACGGCGCTTCCCGTGGGTACAAAGACAGGCAAGGTTTTCTGCATTGGCGTCTCTTGTATCTTTGGGTAGAGTTTCCTGCCACAGCCTATTCTCGGCTCCCATTCAGCGATTCCCTGTTCTGACACAGCATTTTGTTAATCATATACAGAAAGAAAACAAACCCCTTTTGTTAAAGGCCTGCCAGCGGAGGAGACTATTCAGACCCAGGGTGGACACCGCTTGAATTTACTGCAGTGTAATTAGGGCCAAACTCTCCTCTGATTTACCTCCAATTAATCTTGTGCCAGGCTGGCGTAACAGAGAGCAGGACCTCTATTTGAGATGGAAAATGCTGCACAATTGCAATGTACAGCAGCACGCAGTCTTGCTCGCTCTTTCTTTTGGGGCCAGCTGCAGTGGGATGTCTCAGAGCCATGGCTTATCTTGGAAAGCTGCAAGGGATTCAGCCAGCTTGATCGGCAACAGCTCCAGGAGCCGATTCTAACCGAGCTGCTCTCAGGACTGATCCTGGTAACAGACCAGTGCAGCCCAGGACCCGTTTCTGTGCCAGTCACAAAGATTATAGTAGGTTATAACGTGCAAAAGGTAGGTAACTAGACTTGGTGACCCAGCAGGGCCCAGCCAGGGCTGTGGTTCAGAAGGGAGCAAGCTCACTTATTTTTATAATTCAGAACAACTGCCGTGTTGGCTTGGGTTTTAAAGTGACCGCAGGCAAGCCAGCACGGGCTGAGCCACGGTCATCCCATGAGTTACTGCGGGGACATGACACAGCGTGCGGGCAGAACGCCCAAACACACAGCCCAACTCAAAACTCGGATCACAAACATGGGAACATATGGCAATGAGTCTCCCGGGGGGTCTGATCCTGTATCCCCACCAGCAGGCACAGCACAGGCTCATCCCACTGGAAGGCAGCGCCAAAGCCTCCTTCGTGGTAGTTAAGACTCTTAATTACTGTAAGCTGTCAAATGATGCTCCGTTCAGGTTCGGCATGCAACATATTGCTCTTGCCTCACTCGTCAATAAACATCTCCTGGCAGCCAACTGTTTAATTAGCATCCTTTTCGTTGCAAGCCAGAGATCCAGCCTCAGATTTCCACAATCCGCTCTTCTACAGATTTTATCCATGCGAGACATCTAGAAAGCTTAGCAGCTATAAAAGGAGTGAGGTTCGCTCCAACTGATGCAGCCCAAGCCCCCCTCCTGCAATCAGACTGGCTTGGGAATTCTGGGAATCAAAAATAAAACCATTGCCTCCCGGGGCTTTTCTCTGGATCTCCGGGTCTGAACTTTAAGGTCCTGGCACACCCCCAAGAGACCGAGAAAAGGCCTTAGGGGGGGAAAAAAATAGAAGCAGGAGCTGAGGATCTAAGAAAACTTGGAATATTGCAAGGTGCGCGATACAATCACAAGGCTTTGCAAAGCTGGCAGGCTGCCCTCTCCTCCTGCCTCCCCCAACAGATCCTTGAGAATTGGCTTTTATTCACTAGGGATTCACTCTAGTGGTTTCTCACACCAAAAATTAAACCTGAATTGTATCCAAATTTGGCTGTGGGGCCCTTGGCTTCTAGCTAGGGCAGACACAGTGTTTTTGCACATTCCCTCCATCTCTCCTGGGTGCCTGCGGACATGCAGTAGCGGGAGAACACCTGCATGTTACATAGATTTCCACAGGGTGCAAAGGTTTTCTTGCGGGTCTCAGCACCTGTCCTCTTCTTGTCCTTTCACCACCAGGACTTTCTTCTTGGCTTCCAAAGGTACTGTCCCCCTGCTTTCAAGTTCTCTTCTGATCTCTGGGGAACATCCCTAAGCCCCAAGTCATCAGCTCCGAGGGAGATGTGAAGTCTGCACAGCTAAGCTGCTAACTTGCAAGCAGACCGAGTGCAAGAGAGAAACCCTGTTTTCCCCAGGACAAATACTTGCCCTATTCACTTTGTCTAGTGATTCACCCACTTGCAATGCCTCAGTCCCCAGACACCAGCCAGGTTTCTCTTCTCTAAACAATAGCCCTAGCAAGCCAAACAAAGGCTTGGCCAGAACCCTACCCCAAATTCATGGAGCTTCCTCAAGCTTCTAGGAGCCTCCCAGGCTGGGTCCCGTTTCCTGCTTGCCACCCAGAGCCACGCACCTTCCTTTGCCTTTTCCCTGCATTGTTTGGTGAGGAAGCTGCCCGTATTGCAAAAGTGACTTGCTCAAGAAGCTCAGCTGCTTTCCCCGAGCAGAGATGCTTCCTCCTCCAGGTGCTCTGGAGAAGCCCTTCTTCCTCATGGACCTGGCACACTTTAGGCTCCCAAATAAGACCTCATTTTCCTGGGAACTGGCTAGTGGATTGTGTTGATCCTTGTGCAAGGGGAACCTCAGGCCCAGTGGTGTTGGTTTGGGTACCTTCCTCCACTGGATCTCAGCAGCTTTTTTATCACCCCATCTACACCCACTCCCATCCTTGGTCGCACTCTGGATTCTGGTTTGTTTTCTCCAAACTCCCACTCCAGGTCCTTTCCTTGGTAAGAGGCAGAGACAACATTTCCCTCTTTGAACTGAAGGCAAGGCCTGGACTTCATGGCCCCGGATGACTGCCCAACAGAGGCAGTCACAGCTTTGAAGACCTCAGGGTTCCCGTAAGCCGGCACAGGGGGATGCCTTGGAGTGGCTGGCACGTGGGTGACTCACTCAGGTCCAAGGGCAAAGGTTTGTTCTGTACTGGCTGAGGCATGACCCATCCTCTCTCCACTCCTCTCCAAAAGGGTTTAAACTCCTTCCTCATCACAGGTAACACTTCCTAACTACTGCAAACTTCCAGTCCTATCTGAACCATAAAAAGCTTTCTTCTCTCTGGCTTCCTTGCTGGGCATTAGGGGATTTACCACAATAGTTTGCGTCTGCAGAAAGTGCTCACATGACCAGGCTTTATTGGGCCAATTCAACAAAAGTGACATTTCAAAGAAAAGATGAGTTTCAAAGCCCTGAGATGACTCCAAATGACTGCTCTTCCTTCCTGCCCATGCCTGCTGGCCTCGGGAGCACTCTTCCTTATTAACAGGAATGTTTAATTAGAGCCACTATGTAAACAGGAGAAGAGCATCCTTTTGCAGAAGTGGCCTCCCTGCTCTACAGCAAGGTTTTGCTGCAGTGGGAATGTTCTGGCTAGCCTTTAAACAAGCCTGCAGAGGAAGTTGTCTTGCAAAGTAGATTTTACCCAGAGGATTTCTGCTATGTGATGATAATGTCACTACTGGGTTAGTCATAATGGGCTGTGCAGTGAGTCTATTACTGTGGTTTGAAAACTACCATTACCGGAAAGGCCAGACAAGCTTAATGAAGCCAGGCAATTAGAAGTGCCATGAACACATGGGCCGTTAAGCAATGCACACAGAAAAGCAGGCGTTGTTCTGCCTGCACATGATTCAGAGAGACTGGACCAGCTGAGTTTCCACCTCCCAAGGGAACAATGCAAGGGCTCCCTAGTAATGTGTCCAGAGAATACTACAGCCGAGACCCCACTAAACCCAGCAAGACTGTTCAACGGCCTTCTTCCCCACTCCGCTCTACAGCTGAGCATCCCAGAGCGTGTCCTGTGCACCAATGCCAGCCAGCCTTGGGCAAACCAATCTCATGTACCCTAGCTCAGGTGTTAAGTGATGGACATGGGAAGGGAGGAGAGGACATCCTGAGAGCTGCCAAAGCTCTCATCACTAGCTCCTCGGGAGACCGCTGCAAACGGGGGTCAAGCTGCATTACAAATCTGCACATGGTTCCAAAACTCCCCACCGCTCGTTCTGCACCTCAGGGCGACCAACATCCATCTGGCTCCATCTGGCTGCCTTCCTCTCTAGCCTTCCCACAAGCTTGCAACCATTCCCCTCTCCTCCCTTCTGGCATACCCCTCGTTGGAAACACAGCCTGCAGCTTTGCCTAATACCATTGACTTGCTTTTCCCTTTCCATCCCTGTTTTCCTCCACCCCTGCTCGACACTATCTTAGGCCTTCGAGACTCTCTCTCACCCCATTCTCATTAAAAAATTAGGAGATTGTGGTGTTGATGCCTACATAGACAGATGGGTTGCAAATTGGCTGGAGGGCCGCACCCAGAGAGTGGTGGTGTATGGGTCATTTTTGACTTGGAGGGATGTGGGCAGTGGGGTCCCCCAGAGCTCGGTCCTCGGGCCCACACTGTTCAACATCTTCATCAGTGACTTGGACGAGGGGGTGAAAAGCACCTTGTTCAAATTCGCGGATGACACTAAGATGTGGGAGAAGTGGGCACACTGGAGGAGCGGGACAGGCTGCAATTAGATCTGGACAGGTTACAGGGGTGGGTGGATGAGAACAGGATGGGTTTCAATACTGACAAGTGCAAGGTGCTGCACCCGGAGAGGAAGAACCAGCAGCACACCTACAGGCTGGGGAACTCCCTTCTTGTCAGCACAGAGGCAGAGGAGGATCTTGGAGTCATTACTGATGCCAAAATGAACATGGGCCAACAGTGTGGGGATGCAGTCAGCAAGGCCAACCGCACCTTGTCATGCATCCACAGATGCATCTCGAGCAGGGCCAAGGAGGTGATCCTCTCCCACTATGCGACACTCGTCAGGCCCCAGTTGGAGTACTGCATCCAGTTCTGGGCGCCACACTTCAGGAGGGATGTGGACAGCATCGAGAGGGTCCAGAGGAGGGCCACTCATATGGTCAGAGGGGAGCAGGGCAGGCCCTACGAGGAGAGGCTACGGGACCTGAACCTGTTCAGCTGCCACAAGAGAAGACTGAGAGGGAATCTGGTGGCCATCTATAAACTTATTGGGGGGGGGGGCCAGCAGGCAATGGGAGAGTCCATGTTCCCCCGAGCACTAACAAGAGTAACTAAGAATAACGGCCACAAGTCGACTGAGAGTAGGTTCAGGATGGACACCAGGAGGCGCTACTTCAGTCAGGGCAGCCAGGATCTGGAACCAACTTCCAAGGGAAATGGTGCTTGTTCCTACCCTGGGGGTCTTCAAAAGGAGGCTAGATAATCACCTTGCCGGGGTCGTTTGACCCCAGTACTCTTTCCTGCCATAGCAGGGGGTCGGACTCAGGTCCCTTCTGACCCTACCTACTATGAACTATGTTCTTCCCCTTCATCAGGAACCACCTCCCTCAGTGCTGTTTTTATATTCCTACAAAGGTGGAGCACCTGTCCCCCATTTCACAGGTGGGGAAACCGAGGCACCAAGAGGCCAAATGATCTGCTCACAGATGTGCATGTCTGCAGCACAAGTGGGGGTGGAATTCAGGCCCCTCAGGTCTACATTCATGTACCAGGCCACCTGTCTGCCTCTCTCCAAGCATCACCTCTCTTTTCTGCCATGCTCCCTGCCCACTCTTTCTAGTTACTAGAGGGGCTGTAGCCAGATGCAAATTGCCCCCCGTACTCCCGCTTCAGTCTATATCACTGATCAGCAACAGGAAGATCCCAGGGAGAGTGTTTATATGGGCAGCTCAGTTCAGGAGGGTGAGAGGGCTCGCTACCCGGACCCAGCACTGACCCCTCTGCCCTGCACTGACAGCATTTCCGCCTGCTGCTTTCTTTCAAAGAGCAATAATATCTCATTAAGTAAGAAAACCCTCATGTCAAAAACTTTCATTTTCATCACGAGTCTTCTCCCCATCCCCAGGCTATGACCCCAGCATCGCTCAGGGCTCTTAGCCTTAACCCAAGCTGTGTAACAGGGTCTCTGTTTAGAGCTCCCTTCCGTAAGCAGCCTGGAGCACGGCTCCCTCAGCAAGGGACCTGCCTGCAGAGAGCAGCCGCAGCAGCTCACGGTCTCCCTGCCTGCCTTGCCAGGGGGAGAAATGTCTCAGACACTTCTAAAGGTTGGCGATTCTTGCCAAAGCTTTCACTTATCCATTGGTCTCACATAGGCTTAGAGCCCCTGGCAGCCTGGAGCCTCGGGTGCTGATACCCGACGGTGAACAGTTATCACCCAAGCCAGGCCCATGTGCACGTCTGTGCAGTCCCTGCGCTGCCAGGGACGCGCGCTGTGCCTGCTGCCTGACGTCGCATTCTTTCAGCTCAAACCTACTTCTCTGTTTCGCCCAGGCCTCGTTATACTGGCTTATCCAAAATGTCATATCCTGGTAAATTAATCTTAGCATCCTGTTCTGTGCAATCCATCCCAGCAGCCCGTGACATGGTGTTTTCCCAGGGGCCTGTTTTATGAGGCCAGTCCATCATCTGGGAGGGATCATCTAGAAGTCAAGGGTTAGAGGGTGTCAGCCCCTCATCCTGCTCCAGCTGGGAAAGGCAAAGCTTTTGCCTGCAAGAGAAGAGACAAAAGGCAGCAGTAAATATGAAGAAGGCTCCTTCTTGCTGCTGCTAGACAGGGGCACCCATTACAATCTTCCCTGGCTCTCCAGCTTGCAGACTTGCCCTGCCCTGGTTGCTTCATGCCACCACAGAGCTCATTGTCCTTACCTAGGTGCTCTGCTTCTGCAAGGCCTGTCCGAGCGCAGTACGGCCACCATGCAGATTAGCTTCCCTTCCCCAGGATGAGAGGTGCTCAGCAATCAGTCAGCACCCAGATATCTGGCAGGTGCCTGGTCCAGTCACTGCCTGAGCTTTAGCTGGCCAGTGCCTGCAAAAGTAGAGCCCCTGGGGGCCGATTCCTGCAGATACTCAAACATGCCATTCCTCACACCTTTGGGCACCCCGTGGAGTGGAGGGAACAGGTCCTTTTGTCATTTCCCCCCCATCTCTCCCTCCTGAGGGAGCTCTTTGAGAGGGTGGCTTGGAAGGTTTCTGCCCCAAAAAAGAAAACCAACGATAGATTTCTCATAACATTTCCACAGAATACCTTGATTTTCTTTTCAGAAGCATTTCAGCCCAAATGGGAACTATGTCACTTGGCATTTGCCCTGTGCTCCCACACTCGACTGGCAGTCTGGTGGCCCGGTGGCCACACTCAGGGGCCTGGGCAGGACTCCTGGGGGCACCTTGCCAGGGGGATTGCAGCACCGCAGTACATCCCCTGGCAAAAAGGGGGAGGCCTGGAGCTGGGGAGAGGCAATCCCACCAGTGAGCATGGAGGATGGGATAACAGGAGAGGCTCAATGGCATTCCCCACAGCCACACTCAGTATTGGGTGGGTGATTTACCCACGGGGAAGGTGAAAACCCTCCGTTTTCTAGGCAGCTCTCTCCTCCATTGAACTCACTAAACAGAGCCCCAACCAAGGACTAGCCTAGCCACAGCTAGGGGTCCACTTAGTAGGATAATCAAACTCTCCACTACAATTTCCAAGCGGGGAGGCAGGGCCCCTGCCAAACATCATGCAGGAAACTGCTGTCTTCTAGGGACCTGAATGATGGGGAAGGGAATGGGAGCTGCTGATTGAAACAAGCAGCTGTGCCTCCCTGGGGGCTGCCAGATGAAATCAGAAGCAGACCTGGATGCTGCCTGACATGCTGTTTAAACTGGGTGGGATTTATGAAGTTCCCCCATAAAGATGATATCTGTGGCTGGGATCCTGCTGGGTTGGCTCTGGCCGTTCCCAGCTCTTGTTTGCTTCTGGACAGTGTTCGGTGGGGCTTCCTTGCTGTGGTTTGTAAATAAGGGAAGACGGGGGGGGGAATCATAAGGTCTAATGTTATCTTGTTCGTTTACATTTAAGACTCCGTTGGACTAAGAGTCTGATAACCCCCTATCTGGGGCCAGCATGAAGTAAGAACAAGAAAAACAGTCGTACTTTATCCTTTTTCCCCCCACAGACGCTAGCAGAAGTGCATCTCTCACCAGCAGCTGCAACAGGAGGAGTGCTACTGATGCTAGGACTACAGGCAACCACCACTGTGTCCCCTAAACCTGCTGTGATTTTCAGGCCCAGGCCTCTCTGTGGGTCCTAGACCCTAGCAGCTTCCCCACTGTAGTTATTTACCTTTGAGTGTAACTAGGACTAGAGCAAGCTCCCTGCTACTACCATTCACTTGGAGTTCCCAAAATGCCAGATGCGTTTCCTCTAGCTGTAGTGCTCTGTCAATCTGAGATAAACTGGAAAGACTGTTTTTATCCCACCTGCTCTTTCTAGCACTCAGTTTCATTTTAATACCATCCTACCGGTCTATGCACTGTTCGATTTCCTTTCATTGCCTAGCCCCTGAAGGCGACTTGCAATAAGAGCCAGGGAGGAGTCTCTGCAGATTAGGAGTCCAGGTGATTTTATTTCTATGTCCAATGATTCAAAGACTCTTTGCCCCATCCTTGCTGGGCACATTTATCGTTCCAACTGATTCCTCCAATTCACAACAAAAACAGAAGCAACATACAAATGGCTGAATAAGTGACTAAGACACAAGGCACCTTATAGGCTAATTAAGATATATATCATAGAATAATAGAAAATGAGGTTTGGAGAGGACCTCAGGAGGTCACATCTAGTCCTCCTCCCTGCTCAAAGCAGGACCAGCCCCAACTAGATCCCAGCCAGGGCTTTGTCAAGCCAGACCTTAAAAACCTCCAAGGATGGGGTAGAGCACTTGCTTCCATGAGTTCAACTTCATCAGATACTGTCGTCTAAGCGACTAAGGATCAAGGTTGTCTCTGGTCAGCTATACGGTCTTGTCTTCTGCCTCATCACCAGTGAGCCAGGTTGGGTCTTTAGGGAGTATATTTGCTGTGCGGGTGCTAATGTCACCCAACACCGGCTATCTAGTGACATTTTCTGGACAGGGGTTTGATCGCCTCCATTTTACAGGTGGGGAAGCTGTGGTCCCAGCAACCACAGGGCCACAGACTTGCCCAGATGAGTCCTGAGCCCTCTCAGGAAGCCTGTGACTTTATTTATTTAAATACATCAAAGAGTAGCTCTTAAATCAGCATAAAACCTACAGCACCTTTTAAGAGGCAGACACCAAAATGAATGCAGATGTAAGAATGGAACAAACATCAGCCCAAATTCATTTGGTTACATTTGTTGGATTTGAGGAATGCTGTTTGGAGATGCTTGTCTTACCCATAAAAGTGACATCTATGCAGGTTTATCAGCACTGTTTTAAATACAACATGGGAACCAAGACTGATAGAGGCGATTTAAACCTGGCAAATACAAGCTAATTACATGGACTGAAGGGTTAACCCCATAAAAGATGATGCATAAAATGTCTGTGGCCAAGAACGAGCACAGTGGTAATAAAACCTGTGCCCAGGGACTTGGCCTGACTCACCAGATGACAGTCTAATGGCCTTACTGTAGGCAGGATCACATTGTGGGGACTGGCAGGCAAGCAAGCATGTACAGACCAGTCAAGGAGGAAGACGGTTCTCTGAGAGCCCACAGTGGCCAAGATGAACAAGGACAGGCAGTTAGTTGCCCTAATTTGCAGTCTGGCAGAAGGCAAGGTAGCATCTGTTGCAGCCTCTGCCAAAGCAAGCCCTCTGCTTATGAAAGCTTACGTTAAACTTCTGATTTAGTTGGTCTCTAAGATGCAAATCTACCTTGCCTTCTGCAAGATGAGCAATGCAACTGGAGTGTGTCTGGGAGAACAGGAATACCACAAGCAGCAGGGAGGCTGTCATTCCCATCATCTTAGTGCCTAGGAGCCCTACTGAGGGGCCAGCCCTCTTATGGTGAACCACTGGAAGCTGGATCACCCTCCCTCTATCCCCGACTGACTCCGAACTCAATCCTCCTCAAGGCAGCTCAAGGGCCTCTAGGGAATATATCTCCATGAGTCCAGGGTGAAGAGCTGAGGGGTTTGTGTGACCACCGACAGGCCTGTGTCACTTCCACAGAAGAAGGAAAGGTGAGCTACAGGAGCATTTAATAATCCATTGGTCTTCACATGGAGATGGCTTCTCATGTAGGGAGATACCCTAAGTCAAGGCTACCGAAACAAAGTTCAGCAGAACTTTTCAAACCCAGCACTGTCCTGCAGGATTTCTCCAGGGAGAAATACAGTGCTCGGCTGTGGCTGCCCATCTCCGTCTGGGTAGGATAGCTCCTTTTGCAGGCTTGCTTCCACCAGCTTCATGCAATCCATTGCTCGTGGGGAGTTCCTTGAGCACATGTTGGTTAGTTCCCTTTTCACTTGTGTTCGGGAGGGGAGCATGTGATGTTAGACTCTGGGGGCATGGTGGTACAGAACATGGATAAGCTGCCACCCGTTCATTGAGCAGGTACAAGGAGGGACGACTCCTTGGAAGACTGGAGTAGCTGCTTAGTCACCTCTTTAAGGTCTTCATTCACCTCATAAAAGGTCTGCGGGGCTGGAGAGAGACAGGTCTGGCTTTTGTACCTGGCTGTGCGATTCAGCAAATGGACCTATTCTCCTAGAATTTCTCAGGCAGCAAGTTACCTGCTTGGCTTCCAGTAGCCAGAACAGAAATCATGCATGTAAATCCCATGCTGTCCACCCCCACCTCGTCCATGGGAGAACACAGTGCCCTGTCTTGGCTGGCCCTTGGACAGGTGAGAGCTGTGGGAGACTACGAGGTACAGACAGATCAATGGTGGCCTGCAACGCTATTTTTATGCAAATTTGCAACACTCAATCCCATTACTTGCAGCATAAAACATCCCAGCTTCCAGCTCAAAAGTTGCACAGCTGTTGAGCTGCAGAGCCGCACCACACAGGTTTGATGAAAAAGCTTGCAAGACTACCTCAGTTTGGGCTCATGCCCACTTGAGGAACAGACACCCCATCACTCACCCCAGGTTTGCAAACATCGGTCATGTCAGGGTGCCTGCAACGGGTCTGAAGCATTGTGAAATTTCAGAGAGGAAATATGTGCATCTAAATTGTCATTGTTCCAAGACCTTTTTCTAACTAGCTGGTACCTTAGGCCTAATGTTCATCTTTGGGATAAAGGAAAGGATCAAATGTTGATAGATGCAGCATTACCACTGCTCCTCTGGTTAAGGCTCGACCAAACGTCCTCCAAAATCCATGGAAAAAGACTCCTCAATTGCAGGAAGCATTGGATATTATCCAAGAAACAGCAACAGTTCCACCAAGCATATTGCATCCTACTCCATGGCTCCTAGTAAGCACATGTAAATTCAAAGTTAAAAAAAAATCAACTCTGTTCTCTGTGCAACCAACAGTCCAGGTCAACACCCTGTACCCCTCTGCTCCATTCTACCCTTGCAATTTCCCTAC